TGTCGGGGGAGTTGTGATGGGAAGGGGGGGACCCTGGATTAGGGACTTCTGCTGGGGGGTTCCATCTCTTGGGTTGGCAATCCCCGAGGGAGCATGATCCTTCCCCCAGTTAGGCCCTACCCACCTGCCTCCCTCCCTTCCCCACACAGGATGCTATGGGGGCACCAGGGAAGAGCTCCTCAGGCAGATGGGCAGAGGGCAGGTAGGCCCTGGACCCTTACAGGAACTCTATGTCCCCAGCTCCCGCTGGCTCAGCCCCAGAAGACCCACAGGCCCAGAAGCTCCTGACACAGATGACCCGACTGGATGGAGACCTAGGGCAAATAGAGAGGCAGGTGCTGGCCTGGGCCCGGGCCCCACTGAGCCGCACGGCACCACTGGAGGACCTGGAGGGTCGCATCCAAAGCCACAAGGTGGGTGGATGAGCGAGGACAACAGGGATAAGAACAACCCCTCCCCTGGGGGCGCACGAACTAAAGGTGAGGCGAGTGTGCGCGCAGCCGCAGGGACCCAAGGCAGAGGCAGGGAGCGGACAGTCCAGGGTTCAAGACAAGCTGACTCCCACTGTGGCTCCTCCGCTGACCAGCTTTGTGATCTTGGCAAATCACTTAACCTCTCTGGGCTCTGATTTCCTCGCCACTGAAAACAGACACAGTGATACCCATGCATCTGGTTGTCCTAGGGATGACGTCAGGCCCAAGGAAGGTTCTAGAAGGGCAGGGCCCGGGGTAAAGGCCCTGGACCCTGCACCTGGGAGGTGTTCCAGCGAGGGTCCCAAGAGCAGCAAGGAAGCCTGGGCTTCCTCCTGGAGGCAGGTGGGAGAGCCTCCCCAGGAGAGGTTGCAGTGTGTAAACTCCATCACAAAAGGACAGTCCTCTGAGCGCTAACAGTAAAAGCAGCCCCTCCCCACGGGGCAGGGAGGAAGGGGGTGGCGGTTTGAGTTATGTCCTTGCCGACCAGTTTCTGTTCAATACAGTGCTGGGGTTTGGTTTCTAAATTTTTGAATTTCATTGGCCCATGTCCCCATGCAAACAGCTGGTCTCCACTCTACCTTGTACCGGAGGTGTGAGATGCTCAGAGGGCCCGTGGGGACAGGAGGGCTCCAGGGCTGGGACAGGATGCGCGGGAGGTGTTGAAGACTGGGTCTTGACTCTGAGGGGACGTCATGGGGGGACGGCGGAGTGGGCAGGGGGCAGAATGCAGCCTCAACACAGATCCCCCCGCCGCCTGAGGCTCT